AGTACTAACGTTTACAGAGCTTCGTTCTTCCTGTGGGTCTGGCGACCCCCTTGTTACCTGAGAAATTGTGTCTATACCCATCTCATGTTTAAAGAACTTCGTTCTTACCGTGGGTCCCATGACCCATTGATACCCCCTGGTTTGTTGTTTTAATTTCCTTTATAATTTCATATTAATCAATTGCAAAATTGAAAACCGTATGGGTTTTATGTAGCTGTCTAGAAATGTTTCTGAAATATCTAACATTTTAACTGCGAGCTAACAAAAAAACTCTTTAACAACAAAACGTCTTTCAAAAAATGATAGCTGTAGTCTAAATATTATTATCTATGATATTATTAATATAGATGTATTGTATATTGTATAACTCTTAAACAAAATTATATTTCAGGCTCTCATACACAAGGCTCAAGATCTAAAACTGATAAGTCCAAAGAAAAATGCGTACTCTCATCCAGAGATATTTATTATAACAAAATGCTTGATGGGACTGACCTTTTTACCCGAAGAGACTATAAAACCCACATTTCTTGAGGTTCAAAAATTGTGTAAAGATTATGGTCAATATTTTTACGAGTATTTGAAATAACGAGAAGTTTTGGCTCAAGACCTGTAGAACGAAATATTTCTGTGTTCATGGCGTATACGAGGATAGGACCAATAATTATGCTAAAGCATACCCAAGGAACAACGGAACGCATCGATTTTGAAGCATCCTGATATCAATATATTCATTAGTGAGTATAAATAATTGTTGTACAAAAAACAGTATTCAAACATAAAATATAAGACAATGAAACTAAGAAATATATTATTGATAATTCAATGGTATTGAAAGTTGAACTGAGCGAAATAAGTCCTACAGCAAGGCTCTGTCTAAGATTCACTATGTATTTGAAAAAAATGAAAAGCTGTATACTCTGTTCTTTTACAATAATTAGAAAAAACGTAACAAAAAAGAACTGAATTATTAGAAAATATCTGCTGCTTATAGAAAGATAGAAAAAACTTAGGAAGTATAAAAAAAATATATATAAAAGATAAAAAAAATTAGTAAATAAATCTCTTATAATAATTGTTACCTGTAATAATATTTTACCTTATTTTACTGTCCAAGTTGTAGGTTTCAATGTATAATGATCATCTAAAACGATATTAAAACAGTGTCATGACTTCACAGTTTTTTATAAGACGTTTAACTGTTAAATAATTTATGGTTTTTTAATCTTTACAAATTAAGAACTGCCACACGAAAAATATTTTAAATTAAAAAAAAATGGACTGTAATATACACAAGGTATTGCTCATTCTTAAAAATATTTTATTCGACAGTAATTATTTACATCGTACGGAAGTGTGTAGGCACAATACCTTCATAACGCATAAAATAAAAGTATGTGCTACCACAATTATACGAATACAACTGCATCATCTTGATGTATCATTTTTTATTTACATTGTTAAAACCACCTGTATAAAAGGTATTATTAGAAGTATAATACTGTTATAACAAAGAATAAAATAGAGTATCTGAACTAAATTCGGGTATAATGCTTAAACAGTTAACTTATCTGAACTAAAAATTGTAGGTACGTACAGTATGTTGTGTCGAAAAAGCCCTTCTCCGTGATCGGACTTCGTGATGAGGCGTTTTTCTGGATCGCCAGGTTAATACAAATAAAAACAAGAAAGGCCCTACGTTGTGTTATTATTACGTTGCACGAGAAACAAAATGGCATTTATCTTAGCCCCTAGATACATCGGAACAAATTTATAAACTCTTCTCGAATAAAGCGCATAGTCAAAACAGAAACAGTACGCAGAAATAAACTCAAACTTATGTATTATAATTTTGTCAGGTGCGTCCACCGTGACTCGAACAAACACATTGGTCGCAAAGGACCGGATAATGAAAGGAAAAAGATTTAATGGTGTTGGCCAATTATGGGCCTGCGAATAGTGGTATGAAAATCACCACGAAATTTTATATTAATTACTGGATGGTAAATAAATTCCCCGGGCACGTGCACGCGTCTTAGCCGAGAACAAAGATCGTTAGATTTAAAAAACACCGGAGAGGCTTGTTTCTTCTCTCGTTGCGCTGCGTAGACTGGTGCTTCTATCCGCGACGTTGGAGCGCTTATGTAAGAGATCGCTAATGATTTTGTCGCTGCGGCGACGTTATGCAACGGCGCAATTTTTGAATCAGCTTTCTTGGCTAATATTTGAATATTTTTCTTTCCCTTTATTTTGTAAAGCGTCACTGTTCCCGACTTATAATATAGTTTTACACTTTTATGTACATGCATAGGCATAAATATAAATACTAACCATACTCCCCCGTTGCGAGAGCTTAGCGAGCAAACTAAAGAATCCATTATGAACAATATTAAGTGCAACAATTTTTTTTTTCAACTGTATAAGATTAATCTTTCTGAGATCACCATTAATACTTTAAAAATCCAACAAGGAATCTCATACTTATTGAGCAAGATTTTTTCTTTTGCAAGACTATTTAGCGATTATTCGGTCGCCGTCTCTTATTTTTTGTTTAGTTTTTCATAAGTACTTTCTGTCGGCAATAAACAGTCTTTAAATTTCTTTTGTACAAGCCATACTTAGTCTTGACCGTTACTTCGCGCACAACGTTGTCATCTCCTGGATGCAGCTTGACCACTCGACCCAAACTCCAGTGCAGCATGGGTAAATTTCTTTCGATCAGGATTACAATGTCATCCTTTTTAATGTTGTCAAATGCCTTAGACCATTTTTACCTTGTTTGCAGTTCGGACAAATAAGGGACAGACCATCGATCCCATACTTCTTGCCTAATCTTCTCTAAAGTTTCCCAACCATTGAGACGGTTAGCTGAGACAGAGCGATGTGTTCGTGTTGGCAACGCAGTAAGAGCACGGCCGATTAAAAAATGACCGGGAGTGAGTGCGATCGGATCATTCGGATCGATCGAGATGGCAAATAATGGGTGGAAGTTCATGATAGCCTCTATTTCTACGGCTAGGATGCTTAATTCTCCAAATGTATACAGACTACTTCCCATTCCCCTTTTTATATGAAACTTGCAATATTTAACCACTGATTCTCAAAGCCCTCCAAAATGAGGAGCAAGAGGCTAGATAAATTTCCATTTTATTTTTCTAACTAAAGCTTCATTATAAACTCGGTTTTGAAATTCATCACTCCGCATTAAAACATACAACTCTCGCAGCTTGTTGTTGGCGCCCACAAAATTACTACCATTATCGGAATAAACCTCATACGGCACCCCACGCCGCTCGATAAAACGCCTGAAGGCACCCAAAAAAGAATCGGTACTCATATCACCAACCATTTCGATGTGAATGGCCTTAGTGGGTATGCAAATGAAAATGCAATCGTATGTCTTAATCTGAGTTCGGTTTCTTTTTTTTTTTTCCTTTTGCACATACTGGTCCGAAAAAATCTATTCTGGTAGACTCGAATGGTCTTGTCAAATTGACCCATCCTTTAGGCTAATTTCCCATAATGTATTTTAAAGATACCGAATTCAATTTTGTGCACCTTACGCAACTGCGAATAATTTTCCGTATTTGGCCCTTTGCATCAGTAAGTCAGTATCTTTGCCGCAAGTGGTATAAGGTGGATAAAATATCTGTGTGATAGAACAGCTCGTGGCAATCACTAATTAACATATCGGTAAATGCATTGCGCGAGGGAATCAGCTGCGAATGCTTCTGTTCATAGGGGATATCAGCGTGCCTCAATCGCCCGCCCACGCGAATAAGGCCCTCTTGATCTAAGAAGGGATTTAGCGCGCCAATTTTTGGGCTATGCGGCTCGCCACGATGCAACAACCTATCTAGCTCTTCTGATAAATACACCCGTTGTACCAAACCGATTAAACGCCTTTCTGTGGCTTCAATATCATCTACTATCAGTCGTCCATTGCTGAGTTTTTTCACGTTAAGGTCTGCCTTGGTAGCTTCCTTATTGGATTTAATTTTTTCGCGGAGGTATTCAACGCAATTTACAATTTCAAAATATGTGCAAAAAGCTTTGTTTGTATAACCGGTCGCACTAATAATACATCGTTGAGCGATATTTTCCGCTCTGTTTTCGCGGAGGCATCGAACACAATTCACGTTTTTATTGTTTTGCTTGATTCTTTTATTACCACTTGACGAGGTAAATAATAACCGGGTAAAGATTTGTCCCTTGCCTCAACCATGTGCTCCAAGCGCAAATACTCCTGAATCACCTGCGTATAATCGCGATTTAAGGCAGGATTCACGTCCAATTTTCTCTACAAAGCTTGAAATCGTTTAATGGCTACCTCCCGAGAGTTTCCAAGCCCCGGCTCCTGAACACGGAACGGCAATCATACAACGCAGCGACCCAAACTATCACGCCTGATGTTTTGCGTGTAGTGAGATTCGCAATCGTGTCTGAATACCGAATCCTCGCCTTTAAACTCTGCCTCATTAATCTCCCAAAATTTTTCGAGCAAGCTAGTTAAATTATTTACGCAGCACGCTGTATCAGAGCAAGCATTCAAAGCCTTAGAATTTCCGACTATTGCCCAGCCTAATAACGTTTTTTGCAGACTCAAATCTATTTCTCCTGGGATCACAATTTGACCTCGACAAAACATCGCTAGCGTAGCCCCCGCACCAATTAAAACGTCAGGAACCGCCGGCTTATGGAACTCGGGATCAGCAAGTTTTATATTAGGTGGTATTTTTATTCTCTCGAGCGGGAATGTTTCGCTAGGCACTGCGTCCGAAATTTGAGGTATAACTAGAAAAGTAAGAGCTTTCTTGAACTTGCTCTTATTCGAGTACAGCGTACATTTAACAATCTCCCGGGTTGTCGTGCTCTTGTTATCAAACATACCCACTCAAAAAAAGCACGGTTTCGATTTTAATTTCAACTGTTTTATCAACTTCTCGCTTATAAAATGCGCGGACGCCCCGATATCCAACAATGCTTTGCAAACAACAAACCTACCAGTGGGATCTTTGAAGCGTATGCGAGCGGTTAGTAATAAGCCAATAGAGACGGGGAAAGATGATTGACCGCCCTTTGTTGTTGCTAGTCATTTTTTATTTTCTGGGTGAGGTGCTTTGCTACCGCGGCCGCGATGCTTGAAATTCTCGTCATGGAGCTGTATATTATGAAATCGTGGGCATTTTTTGCATTTATTAAAAAAACATTGTCCACTATGCTCCTTCAGACAATTTTTACATATCGCGCTTCCCTTCAATGATTTCCATCGCTCTTGGATTCCCAACGACAAAAATTTCCCGCATCTTTACAGCTGGTGCCCCAATTCTTTACAGGCCAGACAGCTGGAATTCACCGATACTATGAGAACACGATTGCCTCTTTCTGAACGCCTGAACTTAGAAC